ATTGAAGACTGCTCTCCAGTTTTTACCTTGTTTGCTTGGTAAACCATTGTATAACCTTCCTCCAAGAGCTTTATGCACTCACAGAGACATCACCTGCAATATATCATGACAAGACTTACCAATCCTTCTGGCCCTCAGCCAAATTTTTTCATTAAGACACATTCTTATCACCTCTTCTCTTAGCCAAATTAATTCTTGACAAAACAGTCATGTCACCCAGATCCAATGAGTCAACATATCTGAATTGTCTTGACTATTGTTATAGCCAAGTTTTACAATATCGAGTAGAGCATTCATCTCAAGTATTGTTTTATGTAAGAACAGAAATAAGTTAAGGTTGGTTTAGTATTAAATCTACTTCTGCTAGATTGTTGCCTTCAAAGGAGAGACAGCCTACATGTATGATATAGTTCAAAAATCAGTAACAAAAACAGGTAAGCAAATCATAGAGGCGAGTTATTTTAATATGCTCTCTTAATCTCAAAGGAAGGTCTTGGCTGTGGAAAAGGACAGTACACGATTTGCAACACTCCAGAAGCTGCTGAAGGAACGAGGAGTGGAGTGCACCACCTTTGAGAACAGGGACTTCACTAAGCTCTCACTTGATTTGTATGGGGAAGCTCATTACATCTTCCTGGACCCAACCTGCTCTGCTAGTGGTAAGTCTTTTGGAACAGAGAAAGCTAAGTGGTCTTTGCAGTTGTTCTTCGTAGTGCTGCTGTCAGTCTTGTGTTGCTATTGTTGTTATTATTATCACTGTTATCTATGTTATCACTCATCATTATTCAACATCATCATTATTCCTGTAATTATTATTATTATTATTGAATTTTTAAACGTTTCATGTTGTCAGTTAAACTTGGTGATGCTTAATTTTTCTGTTTTTCTAGCTGCTGCCATTGTTTTCATTATTGTTATTATTATTACTATAGTTATCATTATTATCGTCATATTATTATTAGTGATAGTTATTATTGTTGATGTTATTACTATTATAACTTGATTATTATTATTATTATTATTATTATTATTATTATTATTATATTAATTTATTTATTATTATTTTCATTATTTTTTTTTTATTTTTTTTTTATCATCATTATTGTCATTATTATTTTCCTTTCATATTTTATTTGATCCTTTTGTTTCTCATTTTCAGGACTAAATATCATCAAAGATAATATTTCGCCACAGCGCATCAGAGGACTAGCATCATTTCAAATACATCTTCTTCAGTTTGCACTTTCATTTCCGTTTGTAGAAGAAGTTATATATTCAACTTGTTCTGTATATGAAGAAGAGAATGAGGAAGTCGTTGAGGAGGCTTTGAAAGTTTATGGCCATCAGTTTGAGCTTGAAGATATTGGGAAAAAACTTGATGGCTGGAAGCATTATGGAAAAGAAGGCTTTGACTTTGGAAGCAAGTGTGTAAGAACTGTTCCTGATGTGGACAGATGCCATGGTTTCTTTGTGGCAAAATTTGTAAGGAAAGCAGAACCAGATGGAGAAGGGTCATCCAAAGGTGCAGAGAATCACTGTACTGAAGATGTTGAAGCTGGCAATGAGGAACATGGAGAGACACTAAAGGACAATGCGGTTTCTTGTAACGGTGAACTAAGGGAGGACTTGGAGGAGGCAGAGCAAAATCATGGTGATGACCAGACTCAAAAGAAAAAGAAGAGGAAGAAAAAGAAGTCAGCTAAAGTTGATGGTGGTGAGGTACACAGTGAAGAAACAGAGGAGAATAATGCTGTTTCATGTGAAAGTGAATCAAGGGAGATTGTGGAGGAGGCAGAAGATAGTCATGTTGAAAATGATAACCTAAAGAAAAAGAAGAAAAAGAAAAAGAAGAAGTCAGACAGAGGTGCAGGTGAAGAAGCAGGTGATGAGGAAAATAGAAGAGATAGAGTGGACTTAATGGAGGTAGAAGACAATAATGGAGACCATACTCAAAAGAAGAAGAAAAGGAAAACTAGAGATGCTGGGATACACACTGGAGAAACAGAGACAAACAATATGGAGGAATTAGAAGACAATCAAGATGAAGACTGTACCCAAAAGAAAAAGAAGAAGAAGAAGACAGTCAGAGATGAAGGTGATAAGAAAAAAAATGGACACAGAGTGAAGTACGATGCCGGTTCAGGCAAAAGTGAATTAGGAGAGGACTTCGAGCAGGTGGAGGACAATCATGATTTAGATTGTACTAGAAAAAAGAAAAAAAAGAAGCGGTCAAGGGAATCGGAATCAGGGTCAGGAAAATCTGATGATAATCTTTTAGAGAGTAATCATCTAGAAGAAAAAAATATTAAGAAGAAAAAGAATTCCCTAAGCAATAAAAATGACTAAGAGAAGGAAGTAATATAGTTGAAGAATACCCTGAAACTAATTCCCAAAATAATAATGGTGTCAAAAGAAGAAAACTTTATTGATTTTTGAAGAATAACTTCAAAATAACTCCTTAACATCTGTAACATTATGGATGATTAATCTTAAAAGTGAAGGCCTTTAGTTTTATTTTTCCTAAATCTGTGGGTGGTATCAATTAATAATTCTTTTATTAAATCTCATCAAGAAATGAACTTCAAATAAGTAGTTTTCATGGCAGTATACTATAAAGTTGGCAAGACAATAGAACCAAATTTCAATTTTATAAAAAAAGGAAAAGTCAGCATCACATTAGGTGAATGGCTGAGAGAGGGGGGGAGAGAGAGAGAGAGAGGGGGGGAGAGAAAGAGAGGAGGGGGGAAGAGAGAGAGAGCAGGGGTGGTCTTGCACCATTATTGCAGGGTGGCCAGCAAACCAAAGGGGTCCGGTTCAGAGTGTGGCATTTTAAATACCTTAGTCAATATTTGCATTGATTGAAAGATATGCCGAAGGGAAACTATTATTGTACTTTGCTCGTTTTGTACTTCACTGAATCAAACATTCTTTACCCTACACCTCGGAGGGCCTGGGTAGCGATCGCCAATTTACCACCCGGGCCAGACCGCGCCAGAGAGAGGGAGGGAGGGCTCGGTTATATGGCTCAGTTAAAAATGTTATAATTGAAGAATTTAAATTATTTTGAAATTTAGATATTTATAAGAGGAGTCAGATTTAAATGTGGAATTAGAGAGGAATTCATTAACATGAAAATAGGAAGAGAATTCTGCCTGATGTGGTTCAAGAAATAAATATTACAGGCAAAAAATAATGTGGCATAGAATGAAAAACAGGATCAGAATTACGTGTTGGATGTCACCTGATTTGACAAGTGCCAGCTGACATGCCCAATTCTGTATGCCTACATTTAGACGCGTATATACAGAACTCTTCTCATGTATTCGCTAGTGGAATTATTTTAAGCGATGTGAGGAAACCGGTTTTGAATGTTGGAACATATGTAAACAAGTTTGCTTTGTTTTCGGTGTGGAAATGTGGAATGCTTTGATTATTTTTCATGAATTCTGAGTGTATCCATGAAAAGTAAGTTGGCCTTTCCTGGACACTGAATTAGTTAGATATCTATCAAGAGGATACTTAGTCCTTTAAAACTCATGTTGTAGCTGCTTCATTATTTTGCTGCACAAATATTTGATTACCTATAAATATGAGAGGGAAAATTGTATATAGTTATACATGCATTTCCCCCCCATGTTATGGTGAATAAACGTAACTGAAACATTACATCAGTAAAAATATAAATACAGAAGATTGCCTTTTTTTTCGTGAGAGAAAGAGAGGGGGGAGGCCGCGAAGCGCTCTCTTCTCCGAAGCCTCGCCGTTCCTCTCTAATTTTGGGCTGAGAAGTCAGCGGACCCGACAACCCCCCCCCCCCCCCCACACCACCACCACCACCACCACCAACCCCCTGTCTAACTCTGTATCGTTCGCGTGTGAAACAGGTCTGGTTCCTGTACGGATCGTGTCGCGTTCCCCGATGTGTCTCGTCTCCCCCACCCTCCCCCTGCCCTATTTGTACGTTTTGCCGGAGAAATACGTGGAATGCTTCCGATACGAAATCGTTACATCATGGTACACGCGTTTGAAGAGAGAGAGAAAGGAGGGGGGATGGGGGTTGAATTTATTGGTTATTTGGTCTAAAAGTATACAAGATTACATTTAAAAATCACATCAGATGCGTGGATAATTAAAATTCCTTTTTAGAATTATCTATACATTCATCAGTAATCCGATCATAATAAGATCAGTTTGAAATAGAACAGAATCAGAAAAAACATCAAATGAAATTAGATTAAAATAATAGAATATACAAAATCAAACAAAGGTTAAGACTGCACCAAGAAGGTAAAAGTGAAAGATCATATAACGACTATTTGTTAAAAATGAACAATCAAATCAAATAGTTCTTTAAAAAAATGGAATTACATCGCGAGGAATAAAGCAATAAAACCTAGTCGAAGCCACGAAATATAAAATATGAAATGGTGAAATCAAGGGGAAAAATAATGTAAAAAAAATATAATAAATAAAATCATAGGGAACACGAACATGGGAAGATACATATTAGGTTGATCTACAAATACCAAAATTATTAAAGGATTTAATATACATCAAGTTCGAAGTCACACTGCCTTTGCCGCGGAAAAATGCTTCTTCACCGTTGCTTTAGACCTCCGCAATAGTTCTTCGCCTTCCACGGGTGCTGGAATACCGTTATACAATCACACATTCAATATAACCCCGGCACATGGTAAGGCTGATTGTGAGGATATTCCTGTTGAGGATGAAGTATCGATTGGTCACGAGTGAGATGCGGATTACTTTGATTAGTATCGTAGTAATTAACATCTTGTACGTGGCCATTCGGTGATTGATATACGAGAGAGAGAGAGAGAGCAATGAAATATTTATTAGCCGCCCTCTCCTGCAGGAAAGGGGCGGCGTTTAATAATCCTACTGAGATATACAAACATACGCGTTTAATCGTTTATATCAGATTCAAGTTTTCATATTTCATATCACCTTCATGTGTGACATTATTACTTGTGTTTACCGGC